TCGAAGCAGACTCTGTGGGACCATAGTTCGCAATATGGCAACCACCATTCACACTCCTCGTGATCCGAACACCCTTTCCAATTACAACAATTGGCGGACACTCCACACCTCCACAAGCTTGGACATCTTGTTCGACAAGCAGAAATTGAAGGGCAGCGTTGTCCACAGCTTCGAGTCCATCACCGATGGCGACAGTGATGAGATCTTGCTCGACACCAGTCATGTGCAAATCCACAGCATCAATGCAGATGGCAAACCAGCCGAGTGGGAATTGCTCAAGCGGGTCGAGCCATACGGCAGTCCCTTGAAGATTAAGCTCGGTCGAAAGCCACAATTGAACGAGAAGATTGACATCGAAATCAACTTAGAAACGACGTCCGCCTGCACTGCATTGCAATGGCTGACTCCGGCCCAAACTTCCAACAAAAAACATCCGTACATGTTTTCACAATGTCAAGCCATACACGCTCGGTCCATCTTCCCTTGTCAGGATACCCCGGATGTCAAAGCAACATTCGATTTCCTGATCAAGTCACCCCTGCCGGTTATCGCATCCGGCATTGGGGCCAAAGACAATCCGGTGTCCCCGTCCCGCGATGGGTCCTCTCAGCTATACAAATTCCACCAGAAGGTGCCCATTCCCTCGTATTTGTTTGCTCTTGCTAGCGGTGACATTGCTACCGCCAATGTAGGCCCTCGGAGTCTTGTTGCTACCGGCCCTGATGAGCTCAAAGAGTGTAAATGGGAATTGGAAGAGGATACAGAGAAGTTCTTGAAGGCGGGCGAGTCGCTCGTCTACCCTTATGCGTGGGGTGAGTACAATGTCCTGATTCTCCCGCCGTCATTCCCCTATGGAGGCATGGAAAACCCGGTCTACACATTCGCGACACCTACTATTATATCCGGGGACCGTCAAAATGTCGACGTGATTGCTCACGAATTGTCGCACTCCTGGTCCGGGAACCTTGTCTCCAATGCGTCATGGGAACACTTCTGGCTGAATGAAGGCTGGACGACTTACCTCGAACGGCGCATCCAAGCGATCGTGCATGGTGGCGACCAGTGGCGCGATTTCTCAGCGGTTATAGGGTGGAAGGCGCTTGAGCAATCCATCAGTGAACAGTTTGGCGAGCAACATGAATTTACGAAGCTTGTCATCAACTTGAAGGGCAAGGACCCTGATGATGCATTTTCGAGCATTCCGTACGAAAAGGGTTTCATTTTCTTGTACTACATTGAGAAACTGATCTCCAAGGAGGAATTTGACAAATTCATCCCTCATTATTTTGAGACATGGCGGGGCAAATCACTCGACAGCTATGACTTCAAGCAGACACTGCTCGACTTCTTCAAGTCGAACGAGACGGTCTCGCAAAAGCTAGCTACCATTGATTGGGATACCTGGTTCTACAAGCCCGGTTACCCACCCAAGCCTGACTTTGACACGTCGCTCGTCGATCAATGCTACCGGCTTGCTGATCAGTGGGAGAAATTCACCAAGAACCCCAACCCTGATTTCGGACCCAGCAAATTCGACATTGATGGCTGGTCGGCGAACCAGATTGTCGTCTTTCTCGAGAAACTGCTCACGTTCGCGGACAAGTTGCCTCAGCCGCACGTCAACTACATGGGTTTCATCTACGATCTGAAGGAGACGCGAAACGTCGAGATCTCGGCTCGGTACTATCAAGTCGCGATGAAGGCTGGGGACTGGACGATTAAGGGATTTGTCACGAAGCTCCTAGGGGAAGTGGGCAGGATGAAGTTTGTCCGGCCGCTGTACAAAGGGTTGATGAAGATGGACTATCAGCTGGCGGTTGAGACCTTTGAGAAGAACAAGGACTTTTACCACCCGATCTGCCGAGGCCTCGTAGCCAAGGATCTATTTGGGAGTAAACAGGAGCAAAAGTAGGGTATGCATGTGGTGAGCAGTTCTGTGCGATACAAGCACGCCACGCACAATGCTAGGGAAAGACGTCGGGCGATAAATAGCATGGGCATGGGCATGGGAATAGGAGACTTGTGGCCAGATATGCCGGATATACGTGTCTTGTCTACGTATATTCATTCACGCACTATATCACTACCATCTTGAGAGGGAGCTGAGACAAGAAACACAAGCAAGTAGTTGAGATTACAGGTCCTGCACGTTGTCATCAGAACCGCCCGCTCCCTGCCCCGAATATATATACGTTTATGTACCTCGTACAGGTAATGTGTATGTTTGTGTGTATGTTCACGTGTATTATGTAAGTGTTTATATAATATCTATCTGTACATCTGTATAATGTATGTAACGTATATGTGCTGCGTACCTGGAAAACTTTTGATCTCTTCTAGAAGAAAAGGATCGCTCACGAAGCCACGCTCATGCTTCACGCCCATCTATGCTGATGCTGATGCTGATGCTGATGCTGATGCTGATGCCATCCATGGGAAAAAAACGCCGCGCTATGCTGTAATATGCTGTGCCATGCTCTAAACGTGACCATGTAAAGAAATATGCCGGGGGTATCAAAGGGACTGCATGCTCTCCCCATCATCCCCTGCTCAAGCAAAACACCTGGGCATGCAATGCAATTCCGGTCTGGAGAAAAAGAAGAAGGCGGTCATGACGACGACGACGACGAATGATGTTCCTTCATCCGCACCATCAGGATCCGGAGAACCTCGTCTTCCCAATCGCTCAGATCGAGCCACTCGGGCACGATCATGCGGTCTTTGGAGATGAAGATGCTCTCGCCCTCGACAACCTCCTCGCCGAGTTCTCTCTCCTCCCTGGATTTCTGCCGCGCCGTCATGGACTGGTGTGTCTCGGTGCCGACGAGTCGGGGAACCCTGTCGGTCGACGAATAGGTCACCGCGCGACTCAGAGTCCGCATGATCTCGGGCGATGACCCGTGGCCATAGCTGTCAGCGCCGCCTGCCTCGGTAGTCGTGTCTGAGAGGTCCTCGATGAACGCCCCACCAGGCAACGATCGACGTTTGGTGCCCGTCTCGACATCCCCTCCGAGCCCATCAGTCCCCAACTTCCTCGCCAGCCTCGCTTGCCTCCTCTGTTCCCTGAGGTGTTTCAGATCGACCGGCGTCCACCAGTACACCGGGTAGCGTCTCCCGGAGAGATTGTTCACCACAAGCGCGCTGGCCAGCATCAACATAGCCGCCAGCAGCACGAGGGGCAATAGCCACCATCCCAGGTCTTGGATCTCCTGGTTCGTCGCCGCCAGTAGCGCAGTGGCGCCCGCGGGTGGGTGAATGGTTTTTGTGAAGCTCATTAAGATGGATGCGCATCCGACCGCGAGCGCGCCGGCGGCCCACCTCTGCTCTTCGAATCGGTCTGGCGGCAGCAACAAAAATAGCTTGGTGATGCCCACTCCAATGACGGCTGCTAAGAAGTGTCCGAAAATCAGGTTTCTCGGCTGGGCCAGCGGTGATTCAATGGTATTGTACTCCAAGATGGCTGCAGCACCGAATGACGCGATGACGATGGGTACCGTGTGTCCCGACAACTGGGGAAGGGCGAGGAAGACATTTTCGATGATGGCGACGCCACAGAAGGCGCCGACTAGAATCGACAGGTAGAGAAAGAAGGTGTGGAGGTGGTAGGTATAGAACCATTCCGACGGATGGAAGTATTCAAGGTACGACTTGGGGAGGAAACAGAGACACGGGTGATGTGCTATGGTGGACGAAGGAGTGCGGTAGCCGAACCAGTACGAGATCCAGGGAGGCAGGAATCGCAAAGGATTGCGAGGAATCCAGGGATTGAGGTAGTTGTCTATGTCGAATGGTGACCTGGGCTTCGAAGCGGCCTTGGGGGTGGGGTTTGATGGATGGGGCTTGATTGAGCCATCGGCATTCGTTCGAGGCATGGTTCACAGTAACGCTGATGTTTCGACACAGAGACGACAGTCCTCCTGGTTTTCTCTTGAAGAGGCGTCTTGCTTAACCTTTGCCAATGCCCGAGACCAAGGGCCAGCAAAGGCTTTACATATACCTCTACATGCCAATGTGAAACCAACCTCCGCGGCCAGAGTTCCGGCGAGTCGGGTAAACGATGGAACTGGGTTTGAGAAAGCAGCGGGAGACAAGTCAAACGGATCAGATCAGATCCAAGGGCACCCATCAACCCATGAACCTACCAAATTGTAATGAGCCGCGGAGTTCCTGAATATCGACCCAAGGAAAAAACAGCAAGAGGAGCACGGGAGACACACGCGAGACATGCTTCGCCGCCTCAAACGGGTCTCGAGGCACGAGCGAGCCCCCTTTTCTGCATGCAGCGTCACGGAGTGTGCATTTTTCTGGCTGACAGAAACACTGTCTGTCTAGTGTTACATGAGAGAAATATGATGACTGGTAGATCCGAGTTAATTGTAGTCATGAAAATTCCAGGAAGGGCTTGTCAAGTGGCCAATGGTGGATAGAGAATCTAGGCTGAAGAGGGTAAAGAGATCTCTGGGGTATCCGGGACAGTAAAGCAGCAACATAGCTATAGGAAGGTCGTTTCCATAGCGGATGTGAAAGGGTCATGGACGACGTTGTCAAGCTTTGCTGGTGTGGGAGATGAAAATGAAGCAGGAAAAAGTTCTGACAATGTCCGGCTGTGAATACTACCGAGATTAGAGCGGCGGAAAGCCCAAGTAAGAACTAGAGCAGCGACACGGCCAGTAATAAAGCAGTAGGTCACCAATCAATTGCTCTTTGTTCAGCCGGAATGCATGGCCGCCATATTTTTGCATGACGTCGCTGAGCCACTAACTGCATCCGACCGCAAGTGACGTCGAAAACAGCGCACTGGCCCAACAGACGAGAATGATGGAAAAAGCAGCGCTGCAGCAACTTCCGGCACCAACCAACGGCAAGTTACGATGATGTAATGCCATATGCCATAATGCGTGACAGCACGTGACGTTGGTACTCTATACCACGTGACTGCGTGCCTGCGCTCTCACATTTCAGTCTCAATTATTCCTTTCGTCTTCAGTGTCCCACGACCACTACACCTTCACCTTCGCCAACTCACTTCGCACAGGGATATTATGCTCAGGATGTGGCTCTGGAAATCCTTCGACACGAACCCCCTTCCTGAACATCAAGCAATGTGTCGATCCTCCGAAGTGAAACATACCAATCTCGTCGCCCTTTTTCACATGCTGACCCTCCTTGACCGTGATTTCGCAAGTCGATACTTCGCACATACCGATGCCTAAAAACGCCATGAGCCCAATAGCTGGATTGTCTGCTTCAAAGAACATGATCGCCCGAGTGGCCGTGGCTGTCAAATATCCTTGACTGGTGACTTCTCCCTCAGGATCCGCAGGGTGGTCGGGTTTGAAGTCTTCGAACAAAGGCTCGGAATAGTATGTCCCGTTCACCACGTATGCTTTGACCAGTTTGCCAGAGACAGGTGCATGCCAGCGATGATAGCTCAATGCGCTAAGAAAAGCTTGGTATACGGTCCCTCCAACGAACTTGTCCGCCCAGGGATCCTGTGCCAACATGTCGATCACTGAATACGGCTGTCCCTTGAGCCAGAAATGGTCTCGCGCCTTGACGTCGCGCGCCACCTTGAATGTCTTGGATTCGCACGCGTTTGCAATCACATTGTCGTCCTCGGGACTGGCCGTCGGCCGTGCCTCCTCCTTGAAGAGCCGCGTGAAGAAATCATCCCAGGATTTGTAACCCATGTGAGGCTTTGATGGATCGCACTGGAACAATTCCTCAAACTTGTAACCTGTCTTGCCCAAATTGGCTGTCGTGGTGAGCTCCTCCTGGCCATGCGGACCAAACCAGCTCCCTTGAGCGTCTTTCTCCAGGACCTTTGCCGATTCTGGAGAGCGAAGAAAGTCTCCCCATGCATTGAGGACTTTCTTCAACATTTTGTTTATGTCTGGGTCAAGAAACACGGCGTACCCCGAAGCTGTTCCCATGGGCCAATCGAAGAGGGCGTTGAACGGAAGGCCCACCAGTCCAGTGCGCGCCGAGCTCTCGGACCATGATGGCGGCGTGGTCAATATGTGATTAATGACACGAAGCATATGGATATAGTCGCGGACCTGGGGATGTCCCTCGCCGCGAGGGTCGTTGTTGTAGGGCTCCTTCTTAGGGACCTGCTCAAACATGGACTCAAAGAGCATGTACACTCGAGTGTTGTTTTCGATCAACTCCTTGAATTCGACCAAGACCGGGTGAAGATCTTTGGGGTTCTGATCCACCTCTTGGATGATGCCGCCGAGCCATTCTCGGTGAACGTCGTGATCGGGGAGCCAGTCACCCACTCTCTTCCGTCTGCGTGTTTAAGATGTCAGTGACTGCTAGACACGGTTCACGCCAGTTGAGTTGCTCGTCATGATGGGGGTGTAGGGGCTTTTCTTACCTGTGTTGACGATCGTTCTTCATGCTGAATGGTGGTGGGTGGTGAAGTGCTCTATAGCTCAACTGGCGGAGAAAATTATTAGGTATTGATGAGTGTGTCTTTCACAGTAGATATAACGGCAGGTGCTGTATCAATACTTGGTGGTTGTGCTGGTGGCATGTCACGACTTGCGTAATCGTCCCCAACATTTCAATACGTCACTGTCCCTGACTGGGTGCCAGGGAGTCAATGTCCATCTCCACCCAACATACCTGCTCATCATTGCATACCTACCGACTCGCCGAGTGCAAGTATACATATCACGGAAAGAAGACGAGAAATAATAGAACGAGCGAGACTTGACAGTAGCCGTATGCCTACCTCCCTAGGTAGTTGTACAGGGTACGAGGATCTAGGGAGGTAGTACCATTCCTCTCTGGTTTGGAGAGGTATCATACCTTGATACCTGGGTAGGTGCTTAGGTAGGCGGATAGGTCAATATATTTTCTATGCCCCTCCTACTGAAGGACCCTTGTTGATATAACCTTGTGCCATCCCATCACCAGATCCCATATCCAAAGGGAGGTTGGTAGACAGAGAGAATGTGTGTTCGTGCGCCGTGCTTTTTCCGTACAGTTCCTGCTGCACAATTCCATTTCCCTTTTTTTTTTTGGTTCAATAAACACAACCCCAGCCCAGCCACTCCCTCAAAAGCTCCATAACCCCCGATGATGTACTTTGTTGCCTTCGCCAGTTTATGTCAAGTGTATCTTATCTTACATCCCCGTAAAAAAAACAAACCATATTTGAACAAGGAGATAAAACAGTCATGTCAGTTTTTGTTCCAATAGCCGAGAATCCCTGGTGCTCATGTCACTTTACCATCATCAAAACAATCTATCAGCTCCAATTCTGCCAAACACACTCACATCCCCCAGTTCCTCCGTCGATACCGCCTGCTTCCTGGTCGAATCCAGTGTCGTCGCTGATGGTGCCATTCACAAGACCTGGCGCCGCGTTGATCAAGGTCCCTGAAACACTTCTGAACTCTGGCACGATCGTCTTTATATCGGACTGGATAACCTGTAGTTGGTCTACGCCGTAACAATACACTGCTTTCTTGTTGATGTTGCCCCCGTGTCGGTCAATACTGATCGTCGTCGGGTACGGAAATGAGCCTGGTCGGCTGAAATCGGTTGCTGAATTGCTGCTCCCTCCGTCGGTCGAGTTGGTCCCATTCGAGGCGGCAGGGAGAAGCGTTGCGCTAAAGGCTGGGTTGGTCCACATGCGGACCAGGAACCTCGTTTGACTAAAGGTGCACCGCAGTCGGGACTGATCGCGAGTGGAACCCCCGTTTTCGTCCTCGGGGTCAATTCCATTGTTGTCTGTAAATTCCGAGGTGTTCAAGGCTGCCGTCGAATGCAAGAAAATTGCCTTGTCGTAGTAGATGTAGAAGCCGTAGTGCTCGTCCGCTTGACCTCTGTTGTACAGTTTGATCGGCTGAGATGAAGGGTACGGATCGTTAGGGAGGAGGTTGGCAGGCGCAGCACTCCCATCGCTCAGGACGTCGGGCGCCGGAATGGCATCTGAGGAATTCGTCGACTGACGCTTTCGAAGCTTGGAGCCTGTCGGGCTAGATGCCGTGGCGGTTGTATTTGAAGGGTCGACAGGAAATACTGGAACGAATGTAATATAGAAAGGCGTCTGCTCCCCCTCGAACGGCTTCGTGATGTTGTCGGTCGTGTTGCCTATGAAGATCTGGTCCGCCCGGCTTGGTGGCGTCGGGTTGGGATCAAACAGATCGTTTGTAAACGGATTGTCCGCCCTCTTCCGCAGGCGCCGCTCTGACCTCTTCCTGAGCTCTTGTATGGGCACCGTCATATTCGCTGGTACAGTGCCGTTTCGAAAGTTGATCTCGAATCGAAAGTTCGGCTGGTCCGGAGAGTTGGGAGTAACCTCGAACTGCTCCTCCTTGGGTAGGGCACAGCTCCACATTGTGTTGGGTCCCACACATTGGGACTGCTGCTTGACGACATCGGGTCTGGCTATGGTGGATATGCCCGTGGGAATGGGAGGATAGCCGGTAAGATTTAGCCACTGGCTCTGTACAGGAGTGCTGTCGCCTGTTCTTGTGAGGAAGGTGGCCAGGAGAACACACGCCAGGACGATGATAAATAGGATTATGCCAATGATAAGTGTCGATCGGCGTTTCTTTTTCTTGTCCGCGTCGTCCTTGTTGCCCGCCTTTTTTCGACGAAGAAGCCCTTTGAGTCTGGTCATCAGACCTGCCTTTTTGACGGTTTCTGATTCGTGAGGAACTGGCATTTCTTGCCTTGTGACTTCCTTTTTTTGGCTGACTTCTTGGGTCGAGGTGGTAGATTCAAGCCGCTCCATGGCATCTCTTCTCGCTTCCCGAACAGTGTTGTCGTCTCCACTTGCGAATCTTTCGCTATAAAATGTGTGGTTATGAATCGTGACTGACGGTGGCTGCGTTGGCGCCAGCGCTTGTGGTCGGTCTGATGGTGTGGTTTGCTCCAACGAACGTGGTTGGCTGGGTTGGTAGTCGACTTGTGTCATTGGGACGGCACCTTGAGATGTCATTGTATGCTGCATCGCTGGAGAGACAGGGCCTGGTGACAAAATTGGCGGTTGAGCCGCAACGGCAGCGATACTGGGATAATGTGCTTCACGACGAGTCTGTTCCGTGCTTGTGACCGACTGCCTTGGTGCCTGTGAGGTGTCAACCGCGGGGAGCAATGGTGAGGCAGCCTCCTTCTGTTGTGATTCCACCTGTTTGACGTCCGGACTCTCCACAGATTTTGCCTTGACAACCGCGGCGGTTTCTGCTTGTCTGACATTTGGTGACAGTTCTTCAGGCTCTGAGCGGATGGAAACACCACGGCTCAGCACTCTCTTCTCATTATCTGGAGCATCTGCAGTCTCTTCAAGGTCAGCATCAACCCGCCTCGAATCAGAGACGTCCTGAGCGGGCTCAGCAACGACTCCTTTGTCAAAAATTGAATGAAGCTTTGGTAATCTGCTGGCACAGGAGTGGTTGTCGCATTCAAAGTATGGAACACCCGTCAATTGTTCGACAGCACAAGCATGGTAATATTCTGCTGCAAGGCCTTTGGTGAAATCGACGACAGCCCACGCTGTGCCTGGGTTAACATCTTGTACTAAATGTGGAGATTGATCGACATCAGGATGAGGTAAATTGGCGGGAGGAGAATGCAAACTGCCATCTCTTTGTCTTTCCCATGTTGTCCACCTCGACCAAATGCTTGCCCTAGCACTTGCTAATCCGAACCGCCGAGGTGTTTCTGGAGATTCGGAGGTGAGAGGAGAAACGATGTCACTTCTGGAAAGACGTATATCGGCTGGCAGCGAAGGAACTGGAGGCGTGGCTGGACTCTTGCTCTTGGGTTTCTCTGTGGTGGTACCCTTCCTCGAAAGCATGGGCGAGAGCATAAGATTCCACCAACCCTGTGATTTGCGCCGTCTGCTTTCTAGATCTGAGGGGAGAATTTGTTCTTGGCTATCAGACGACATCCTCGATATCTCCTCCAGAGATTGATGGGATCCGCCGTCACTGTCATAGTCCTCTGCATCCTTTTGGCTGGCACCTCGGGTGGATTGAGCAATGCTTGCGCCTATCGTTGGCTGAACTTGGTCATCATAGTGTGCGTGTCTCAACGGAATCTTCGGCACCGGCGGCAGTTCACTGTCTCGGATCTGCGTTTCGCTGCGCGTATATGGAGAATACATGCTCGATATAGGCCGACCCTTGCCGAAGAAAGGCGGTTTCCAAGAATCTATTTCTTCAGCTGGAGTAACCACGATTGCAGGCGTGTCTGGCGTGATCGCGGAGTAGGTATTGCTTACGCCACCAGCAGAACGGTGTGCGTCCAGTTCGTGTTCGGGAACACTAATTCCTATAACGATTGATCGAGCCTCCGGGGAGTAATCACTTAGGGCATTGGTTGGTTCTCGGAGCTCCTCCTCTTTGACAATCCCATGAGCTTGTCCGCCAGTGTCCATCTTTCCGATCACCCGAGACTCCTCCCTCGCCTTTCTCGCCGCTTGTGACTCTTGTAACTTCGAAACAGCTTGTCGGGCGATGGTCCTCTTCAAGACCTCTCCATTGTGATTTAGCGGTCCTTTCATGTTGTGATTAGGAATAGAGTCGGGTACCAAGTGGCTTACATGCTCAGCTTTAGCCGACAGGACGGATGTGGTGTATCTCGGGCCCAGGCGAGGTCTTTGTGACTGCACCTGTTCAATGACAAGCCCATCAGTTTGCGTTCGTTTGGCCTGCGCCGGGAAATTGGTGACAATATTCAATCCTGGGCGAATCTTCTTGTCGGTTCGAGGTCCCACTAACTTCTGCTGATGCTTTCGTCGACTGGACTGCTTGCGCTTTGGTCCCGAAACCTGTCCGTTTCTCGTCGTTTCTTGACTATATCTCTCAAGGTGGAATTCATCCTGGCCACTCGAAGATCCAGTGTCATCGTCGGAAGAGCTGGAAGCGAAAGGGTTTGGGGAAAAGAAGGTCTCGTTTGGTGCCAATGTCATACCGCCATTAATGGGTTTAAACGTCGTGAGAGGCTCCTGTTGAGGGGACGATAGTGGAAACGCTGGAGCAATGCTGGGCTGATGGTGCACCAATTCAGTTTCCTTCGAAGTTGCACCACGACTGTGTGGGTTTCGAAACCCGACCGCCATCACTGAAAGTGAATGATATTCTGGAGAAGGTGATGGTGTGTGCAGGTAAAAGTAGGGACGAAATTTGGCATCGCTTCTTTTCAGGCGGATGAGGATTTTAGGGAGGTTGCTTAGGCTTATCGCTGTAGCCTTCTATTCATTGTCCATGTTTTTGAGTCAATATGTTTTGCTCTCGGTGAATCAACCAGTGAGACCGTTTCAAAGTCGACAATTAGTGCGTCGTGTGAGCGTGGAAGGAACCTGCCTGCGGAATCAGTGTAGATTATTGTACAATGAATATAATAAGGAAATAACAATAAGGAAAGTTGACAGGAATGTGAAGAACGAAAGGAAAGTTCATGGTGGCATCACTATTTGACTTGATCGAAGGCGGGGACTGGGTCTGGCAGAAAAGGATTGGTAGACATCACGATATCTACAGTTGTCAAGGTCCATCCGCGCCCAGCGGGGCAGTCGTCAGACGAGGCTCCTCTGAGGCTTCTCTGAAGGCTGCCAGGCCCCATTGTTTGTCTGAGGCTCGGGGTTGCAACACGTTTCCTTGGATCTGAGCTTGCGGCGGGCAATATCCCAAACTTAGATCCTGGGGGAGAACAGTGGATATGTCATGATATCCGACCTGGAGGTTAGCCAGACTTCAGAGTCGATTGCTTCAGGTTGAAAGGCGGTCGATAACTGGAGGAGATGAAGTCGAAGACGAAATTACGCGCGCGGTCAGACAAAGATAGAGGAGCAACGAGAACCAATCGCTGGGCCATAAGGCTGTATTACATAAGACGAGATGTTTCACAAAGCACGTGACAAGGCTGCGGGATCCAAGCGGCTTCTTTCATATTTTGGTACAGAAATCACTCGTGGAGACGTGTAGCTTTATATCTCCAAAACTCGTATACACAGACCATACCGGCCGTAGTCTGAAAAGAAGAACCCAACTTATCTGACAGTTGAGAGCAGCAAGTCTCTACCTTCTGCTTCGAATGACTGTCGCAACCTTATATGCGACGCAATGGGGCTCGACAGTTCTCAAGCCCCAGTGATTTTGCTCCATGCCCTGAAAAACATATCCCGTTGACCATGGTATCATGAATCAAATGATCGACCCCACCCCTCGGAGCCCAGAAGTCGTGCCTCTTCCGTGAATGCACGATGCTTTTGGCTAAAAGCTCCACAATTCCAGTGTAATGCACAAAAGAATCAAAATGTCAAAATAGTGTAACCCAAAAGAAAATAGTCCGATGGGGAGTGCCCGAACCATGAGAGACAGCACTATCGCCGGTCATCATATTGTATGCCCTGCATCGAGGTGCTGCCCATTATCGGCGGAAGTGTCCGTGCTGGTTCGTTGGACCCATCAATATGGTTGTTAAAGTGAGGTCCGTATCCAAGAGGACTCTGTGGCATCACAGTCGGTGGAGGGGGAAAGGAGCCTTGAGGTTGCTGTATTCCCTGCATCTGTCGATTCATTTCGTGCATCTTGGCTTCAAGTTCCGCCATCTTCATGCGCTGGTTCTCAAACTCTGCTCGTGCTTGCTTGTTCTGATTTTCAAGTTGTGTAATGTAGTCAATGGCTAAGGAAGATTAGCGGCATTCTGGGCTCACGGCGCGGGACAATCTCACCTCGTGACAGCGTTTCCCATTTACTTGACTTATTGTTTTGACTGGCTGGCAATCGGCTTCTCAGCTGTTCAAAGCAATCCTTCATCTCACTTCGTCTCTTCCGCTCGGCTAGCTTGTGAGTTACTCGAAGTTCTGGTGTTCGGCTGTAGGGCGTGGTTCCGTTCGGAGAGTCGGGATCGCCTCGAAGGCTGTCTAATTGTTTGTGTTGCAAACTGTGATGATGAGTATCGGGAAGTTCTGGCACTGGTTAGATGCATCACAATTCTCCCGCTATATGAAAGCTTACCTTGCTGCCCTAATGGTAATCTGTTCGACTCCATTGTCAAAATACTGCTGGAGAATGACTCTGCGAAGCTGTTCCTCCGCGAGTACGTCGATGGTGTTCTGCCCGGCGGACGAGGCGCGTCTGGGTCAGGAAAGGCATAAGCCTGGCCTCGAGTCGGGGCTTCTGCACTGTAGACCTCCTGTTTCGGGTTCTCGAGAATTGGGGGCGCTACTCGTCCTGCGGCAAAACCACTCCTTCCACCGCGACTCGAACTAAACGAGGAGATTGGACCGCTCATTGTTGAATATCTGCTGCCTCCTCCAGCATACCCATTTGTCTGGATGCCTCGCTCTCTTTGGAGGCCAGAGACGAGGGATGTCTGAGAGGCATTGGTGCTTGTATAAGGAGATGTAGGGCCGAGGCCGAGGTTATTCATGCCTGTATGTATGCTGTTGGAAGCAACACTGCTCCTCCGCGAGTCGTCAAAGTCACCACTACCTCTGTTTGGATTGGAGTTCGGGTCTGACGTTGGCGGTGGAAGTCCGTTCGGTTGCGGGTGCAGGCCACCGTTGAACGGAGCTGGAGGTGCGGAAGGGTTGTCTGGAGTGTAAGGAGATGTGCCTGTGCCGGTCGGAGAGTGGGCAGAGTTCAGGTATGGCATCGAATTTGTCGAAGACCCCGACACTATGAGCGTAAGGTTAGCAACACATCTAGTCATTTCCGCAGGGACCGAGCACTGACGGGTACCGGGAGTCATCCAACTTCCCGAATCTCTCTGGGGTGGATGAATTGAGAGGTCTGACGGGGCTCTGTCCAGCGGCTGGACTGGGAGCTTCGAAGTCAAAGAAGCTATTGATGGCAGTGTCTGTGGGAGACTGTGAGGGGGATTCGACTCCCAAGGACGGTGGCTCGTGGTCTCCATCATGTCAAAGCCGTTGATGTGTATGTGTCGAATATGATCAGCTCAGATGGCGAGCAGAAACTGCCTCCTTGCGCATACGGCGCTCGAACACGGTCGTGAAGATCCCTGACTCGTCGCTCGAATCACTCGTGATTCCCAAAATTTATTGGTCCGTAGGATCCAACAAATGGAACGTCGGGCGCACTCTGATGAAAAGGTGATCGGGAGACGCTGACACTGCAGCACCAAGTGGCACAACACTTTCCAAGAACGATGCGACGACCCAGCGCAGAATGGGGCCTTGTATCGAGTGACCGGGGGTGGGATCAATGCGCTGCGCGATGTCGAAGGAAGAAAAAAGCCGATCGCTTGATAACCAGGGTGCAGTAGATGAGATCTTAATCCTCTGGTTGTCGCAATATCCTGTGCTCCAACACCAGACTCTTTTACGAGAAGGTCCGTCCCAGATCGGAGAGCGCCCGAACTGGTTGTCCTTCCAAACACTCTGCAGGGTGGGAGGTCTTATTCAGAAAAACGTGGAGCGGAAGATGTTGTGGAGCCAGATCGAGGGCATGCAGCTTGCCAGAAGAAAGGCCGCGAAAATACGGTCGTTCAATCTGGTGAGGTCCTGAGATCAGGTGTCGCACAGAGGAGCGGTCGGCGGGAGATGGCAGAGGAGGGATTTGATCTAGTTGCGGTCGACTGCAGAGATGGTTGGAAAGATTGTCGGTTTGAGTTGGCGAGATCTGTCCAAGATAGCAATCTTGAGGGGCAGATCAGAAGTGGCGCCAGGAGAAGTAAGGATTCAAGGAGAGGGATGAGGTTTGGTCGACCCCAGAGGTTTGGAGGGAGGGAATGTTCCCTTTCCTGCACAGGGTCCGAAGTAAGAAAGGTCGCAGGTGGGCACTATGGCCAGCGACAAGGGGGTGAGAATGATAGGACGGGATAATTCTGGAGGAGTCCTGGTCAAAGCATGTGCTATGTATACTTTGACTATGGCAAAATGGAAAAAAGGTTGAGCCCAAGGCCAAAGCCGAAAACAAGTTTCAGAGGCAAAAAGAAGTACGTTGCAGAAGAGTTAGAGAGAGAGGTCGAACGTGGACGTGGAGATGGATATGGAGATGGAGATGGAGACTGCAGATGCAGACGCAGACACAGACGGGCAGGGCCCAATCCACTCATCCATTTTGGAAGACGGATACTGGATCAAACCATCAACCCATCAAATCAGGTACGTGGTGCTTTAATCCGAGTCGACATGGTAGAGACGTTCTTGGAACTAGATCGGGGCTACCAAAGTATCCATTGGGAATTGGGGGAGAGAGCTTTGGTTGGGTAAGGGTGGTTGCTCCTGGGGGGCAATGGGGGCTTTGCTACAAAGAAGCGTGGGTGCTTGGGTACTTGGGTGGCGCCCCGGCTTTCTCCTCGTCATCTCTTCCCTTTTGCAGAGCCGGACTAGATTGCTTTGGGTATTTGCTGTAGTCGTGACATTTGAAATTAGAGGCCATACCTACTACCAGGCTGCGTAGCTATCCAGCCAAGTAGCTAACTACCACTGGCTTTTACTACATGATGCTATCAGTGATCGACTACCACTACTCCAAGGAGAAGAACTTTGGGAGGTGATGCCACCTGTTTCAAAGAGAAAACAAGACGGTTGTTGCATGGTGTCGCATGAAAGCCAGTTACTGGCACCACTGGAGATCTGGTGTCTGACATGAGAAACGTGGAAGGACAAGGACAATGGGAAGGGGGCCCGTGAGGGTGCTGGGTCCCCTGAAGCCCGAAAGCCTGAAGCCTAAAGCCTGAAGGGGGTGGTTCCTTGGGTATGATCACCCGGGCCAAGGCCCGTGGCCCACTCCACCATTATGACCACCACCGCCCGCCGCGTCAACTCTACTTACTTGGTAGGTAGGGACGAGTTGGATATGAGGATGGATAGGCATTTACCTACAGTGCTACTTGGGCACTATAAGTACGAGACCCGAGGTGAGTGCAGGCACCTCGTACTCTTAGACACTCAATTTCATCCCTATTGTCATCCGATGTTTACAGACCTCCAGGTACTTCCCCCAAAGGAGACCTATCACTTGCAGCAATGACCAGCGATCGCAAGACCCTCTTTCTTCGGTCTACCACTTCCAGTATCCGAAGTGGATGAGCGACCTTGATCCAACCCACGTGCCATTCCTTGCTTCTTGCCGCATCTCTGAACTTCTTTTGCCCGTCTTTCGCATGTTTTTTGCCATGTACCACCCGCCGAATCTGTCCGCTGTCCGTAACTCTTTGCCTGAATAGCCGTTTTACTTACTGCTCGACTCGTGGCATCCTCGTGTGAGATGCTTCCTCTACCAACAGCACCAGCTCATCCAAATCGATCGTACTTTCTTTTTCGCCTAATTGTGCCACCGGGAGTCTCGCGAACCAGACTCACAATCGTCGTTCGCTCGCTCAGTTCAATGGCCTCCACATCCGGTCATAAGCACATTTCTACCTACTCCGTATTCCTACTTTTGACAGGGAGCCGAGCAAGCCGCATGCCGGCAGTTCAATGTTTAAGTTATTGCTATGCTGCATTGGGGCCTGGTCGCCGGCCACCTTGCAGACAAGTAGCCCCAAGGTGCCCCCCTATGCCGAGGGTTGCAGGGTCCATCATCTTGAGTTTCCATGCCTGGTCCCGGCTCTTTCCCCCAAGAAACTAACAGGGCGAGTACTAATGTTCCTGGAACTAGGCAGTGGCCGCACCCGGTGGTGCCCTATCGAATCCTGCAATCATGAATCACCCTCGCCCTGGAGACGATCTTTGCCTTTTTCCATTAGCTCTCAAGCCTCACTTTCTGCCACTATTGACGGCCAGAACCCACGGGCATGCACGCCAAATGGAATGCAGGAACGGTCAGATGGAAAAGTTCCAAAAAGGCCATTGTCACGAGTTGGACAGTTTGGCCAGACAATGCCAGAACAGATCGCGCGTGTTCTGCACCGGCCGTATTGAGTCACGACTGCTACATCTCAATGCTTTGAACTGGAAGATGCTTTGCTGACTCGCAACGACCACCAACTTCGACACCAACTCGCCTCTTGATGACGTCGAAAAACACGAGGCCTAAGACATTCATCTTGCTTCCCCCTCACAAGAAAGCACTATTAGCCTGGCTTGTGTTCTTCCCGATCCCGCTTGCCGGCAGGAAAGGGGGCGAATCAACCAGTAACTAGGTGTTTCGCGCAGGGGAAGAACCACGTGGCAGCGGCAGCTAGTCGAAATCCCTTTGTGTTGGGCAATCGCGAATCCCGTCTTCGCCATCGCAGGAGCACTCCTACAAGTACACGGTGCAACAGACACGCTTGCCGTTACGCATACACGAAACTTTGTTCCGCATTGAGAATCCTGCGTGATTAATATATGCTCTCACTCCGCTAATTGTGGCTGGCTAACAGAAATGAAAGAACAGAACTCAGATGTCGCTTGGAGCTCGGACCATCATGTGGCTTGAGACAAGACTAATGGAGACGGTACGATAGTCCGAAGCCGAATTGACAGATTGCGAATGCACTTGGATTCATAGGCCTGTCTCGCTTTCTCTTCGACTACCAGCTAGTATCCACGAGTAGCCCGGCACTCAGAATCTCCTGAACGGGTCCACCCTTCTGTATCCCAGCGAGATGTCTTTGACCCACAGTATTCTCCTTCAACGCGATCCTCAGGTACGGACGCAATAAGGAACATGTTGTGGCTGCTCTATGGTGTCTTAGGCTGCTAGCCTCTTTTCCGCGTTGAGCAGATCCTCCACTGTGTCTTTAAGGGTCACTTTGAGGGGTGTGTATTTGATACCCAAGACCTTCTCCGCCTTGCTTCCGTTCACCTGGTATACTGGCTCTCGAGCGCCCGGAGTTCCTCGTGGTATACGGTCCTGGATCTGCGGGAAGTCATCGCGGAGACCGTCCACAGCTGTTTGATAGTCGAAGTGGGATCCGACAAGGAATCGCTGACCACCCGCTTCTTCCAGCTCGTATGCACGCAGATGAGCCAGAGATACATCTCTTACGTCAGCAAAGCCCGCAAAATCAATTGGAGGAACATCTTTGGTGGATCCATTGACAAGCTTCCAGATTGCCTCTGTCGACTCGTTGAGGTGGTCCAGAGACTTGATTCCAGCCAGTGAAGGGCCGAAAACCCATGGTGGGCAGATAGAAGTGAAAGAGAAGGATGGCTTGTTCTTCTCAATCCATTCCCAAGCTGCCCTCTCAGCCAGACCTTTTGCTGCGCAGTACGTGAAACCACCGCTGGACGAGTTCTTGGCCTCCTCATACGTTGCAGGGTTCCAATCCGACTCGCTATACGTATAGTCTGGGCGAAGACCTTGGCTGAGGTCAAGGATACAGGCAAAGGAAGCCGTCAGAACGACACGACGTAAGGTTGGTCCTTGGGTGGCCCCAGCCTTGAGTACATTCAAGACGCCGTTGACCGAGGGTTTCAGAAGCTCTTCTTCATTGTCTTTGGGGTTCAGAATGAAGGGATTCGCCGTATGAATGACTCCTGTCACACCGTCGACTGCCTCGTTGAAGGCATCGGTGGCCGCCATGTCGGGCACGACAACAAAGGACAACTGATCAGCGTACTTCCCATGAGCCTGTTTTATGCCAGCAATGGACTTCTCAGATCGGACGGTTCCGCGAACGCGGTATCCGGCTTCCAGGAAGGTATGCGCAATGTGGCTAAAGCAAAGGTCAGTCCAGGAGCTATAGTTGATGCAGGATCTGCGCAGCGACCACCCCTGGCCTCGCAATGAACCAGAATATGCTGGAGGGGCACCACTTACGAAGCCACGAAGCCTGAAATACCAGTGATGAGAATGGTCTCATCCTTTGGCGAGATCGAGCCCATGGTGATGGTCAGGATAGACTGATGAGCTAGGAGAAAGGGTCTGACTGGTCTATAAGGTATGTATTGCGATGCTTGTCACTCTCTTTGACGTATTTGTGTCCAAAGCTTCTCGCTCCTCAAGGTGGTAGGTTTCTTT